TCCAACTTCCTGCCTTGTCCCCTCTTCCCCCTCTCTTCCCCCTCTTCATCGCTTACCCTCTCCCCTTACACCCATTGCTAACTGCTAAAAACTCTATGGAAAACACAACCAATATTTTAGAGTTGGCTTCATGAAAATTGAATAGGTGGGTTAATAAATGGCAATATTTCTTAAATCGTTTCACTTGGGCCGACACAGACTAGCCCTTGGCACTCCCTATCCAGCATGGCGCGTATTAAAGAGATGAGTGAGGCTAGCCGCAAGCGTTTGGCCTCGAACTTCGGACAGACAAATATACAGACATTCTATTTCATATACATATATATATATATATATATATATATATATATATATATATATATATATATATATATATATCTTCCTGAACTAAAAAAATCACGTGTCCAAAGCTTTTCGAAACTTAATTTCAAATAAAGAAACAATTATATCTATATCAAAGACAATTAAGACTTGCCTGTGATATAGACTTGACATCCTCAATAACACGTTACAAACTGAATTAGTTCACAAATGATTTGCAAACAATTTTAGTTTCCATTACTATTAGCAAGACTTACAATATGAGACTGCGCAGAGCCCCTTAATACCACTTAATACCTTAAGGGAGCCGGTCGGCCGAGCGGACAGCACGCTGGACTTGTGATATTATGGTCCTGGGTTCGATCCCAGGCGCCGGCGAGAAACAATGGGCAGAGTGTCTTTCACCCTATGCCCCTGTTACCTAGCAGTAAAATAGATACCTGGGTGTTAGTCAGCTGTCACGGGCTGCTTCCTGGGGGTGGAGGCCTGGTCGAGGACCGGGCCGAGGGGACACTAAAAAGCCCCGAAATCATCTCAAGATAACCTCAAGATAACCACCCCAGGGAGACGAAGGGGAAGTCTCCTCATACCTGCTCCTCGGAGCTCTTCCTCGACACCAAAAGAGACTGCAAGTTCTACCATCTTACAAGCAAAAATGTTCAAAATATGGGGGCTGAACTTTACCAAGTAAGAGGAATTCTTTTATGTTCATCCCAGAACATCCCATGTCTGCAAGTGCTGGAAATGTCTGTGAACGCTGCAAGTGTCTGTGAACGCTGCATGTGTCTGTGAACGCAGCATGTGTCTGTGAACGCAGCATGTGTCTATGAACACAGCATGTGTCTATGAACGCAGCATGTGTCTGTGAACGCAGCATGTGTCTGTGAACGCAGCATGTGTCTGTGAACGCAGCATGTGTCTGTGAACGCAGCATGTGTCTGTGAACGCAGCATGTGTCTGTGAACGCAGCATATGTCTGTGAACGCAGCATGTGTCTGTGAACGCAGCATGTGTCTGTGAACGCAGCATGTGTCTGTGAACGCAGCATGTGTCTGTGAACGCAGCATGTGTCTGTGAACGCAGCATATGTCTATGAACGCAGCATGTGGCTGTGAACGCAGCATGTGTCTGTGAACGCAGCATGTGTCTATGAACGCAGCATGTGTCTGTGAACGCAGCATGTGTCTGTGAACGCAGCATGTGTCTGTGAACGCAGCATGTGTCTGTGAACGCAGCATGTGTCTATGAACGCAGCATGTGTCTGTGAACGCAGCATGTGTCTGTGAACGCAGCATGTGTCTGTGAACGCAGCATGTGTCTGTGAACGCAGCATGTGTCTGTGAACGCAGCATATGTCTATGAACGCAGCATGTGGCTGTGAACGCAGCATGTGTCTGTGAACGCAGCATGTGTCTATGAACGCAGCATGTGTCTGTGAACGCAGCATGTGTCTATGAACGCAGCATGTGTCTGTGAACGCAGCATGTGTCTGTGAACGCAGCATGTGTCTGTGAACGCAGCATGTTTCTGTGAACGCAGCATGTGTCTGTGAACGCAGCATGTGTCTGTGAACGCAGCATGTGTCTGTGAACGCAGCATGTCTATGAACGCTGTTAGTATTATATAATCCAAGAGAGTATGCTTTTCTACCCCTATAACGCTTTCAAGAATTCCTTTGCTAAAGATTTTCTGACTAGAGTTTGTTTGAGACTGAGAAAACCTTTATGATATCTTAGCTAACATTACATGACGTGAACGCCACCAAACGTTTCATCTGGAGGAAAAACATTTCAGATTTAGCATTATTGAAATGTTTCCCGGTCGGAAACGTTTGGGTAGGACAGTGTGTCACTATTTTTGTATAGCGTTTTCAAACGTTGTCACGACGTGAGACAAAATTTGTTGATTCGAGTTCGTAATGGCTTTTGTTGGCCATTTACTCAACTGAGTGAAACACTTTTGAGCATTTAATGGGGAAACTTCGCTGGAAATTCTGACAAGGTTGAGCGCGACACTACTACAGCTTCACAGGATAGCTATGGTATGATAACGGCTGAGGAGATATCGCTGGCATTCATCTTTTCCTTTTTTTTGTGTGTTATCCAACATGATAACTAAGCTACAGGTTCAAATGAGTCTGATAGCCACAGTCATTTGTATATTCTTAAGATTAAAATTTGCATTTGATATCCACATTCAGACACAAGTATTAACTCTTGTTCGCCTCATACATCTGTTTCCTTGTTTCAATAGACGGTTCTCTGCGCCTCATGGCGGCAATTAGATATTATTAATGTCTGATAGCTGCAATTAGATATCTTTTCAAGTCTGACAGCTGTAGTCTTTGGTATCTAAGGTTAGCTATCTTTTAACCTTAGATACTGTCAACTAAGGTATCTAAGGTTAATGATAACCTTAGATACCTTCTTCTAACTAAGGTTAGAAGAAGGTATCTTTCTACTTTCTCTAAGGTATCTTTCAACTTTCTCTAACCTTAGTTACAAGAAGGTATCTAAGGTTATCAGCGTCTAGAACAAGAGGCTGACAAATGTCAGCCTTATTCTAGATGATGACAGTTGTAGGTAAACGTCTGAAAATGTCTGGAAGCTGCAGTTAGATGTTTGATAGATAATGACTGGTAACTGCAGATAGACGTGTGAAAGTGATTGATAGGTTTTGTTAGACATGTGAAAGTGATTGATAGGTTTTGTTAGACATGTGAAAGTGATTGATTGGTTTTGTTAGACGTGTGAAAGTGATTGATTGGTTTTGTTAGACATGTGAAAGTGATTGATTGGTTTTGTTAGACGTGTGAAAGTGATTGATTGGTTTTGTTAGACATGTGAAAGTGATTGATTGGTTTTGTTAGACATGTGAAAGTGATTGATTGGTTTTGTTAGACGTGTGAAAGTGATTGATAGGTTTTGTTAGACGTGTGAAAGTGACTGATAGGTGCAGGTATACGTCTGAATGTGACTGACAGCTGAACTTAGAAGTCTACTAGTTTGTGATAGATGCAGTTTGACCTCTGTAAATGTGGGATAGTTGGCCATAGATTACTACTAATTTTTGATGACTTTAGTGAGACGTGTGATAGTGTCTGATAGCTGCAGATAAACGTCTGATTTTGTCTGATAGCTGCAGCTAGACATCTATTAGTGCCCGATACAAGGTTGCCAGATAGGGCTACAAGTAATTTGGGCTACTTGTAGCCTGAATAAATAGCCAGCTATGAATGTAGCTCTTTGCAATTTTGGGGCTAATTTTAAAATATGCTGGGGCCTCGTAGCCAGGTGGATAGCGCGCAGGACTCGTAATTCTGTGGCGCGGGTTCGATTCCCGCACGAGGCAGAAACAAATGGGCAAAGTTTCTTTCACCCTGAATGCCCCTGTTACCTAGCAGTAAATAGGTACTTGGGTGTTAGTCAGCTGTCACGGGCTGCTTCCTGGGGGTGGAGGCCTGGTCGAGGACCGGGCCGCGGGGACACTAAAGCCCCGAAATCATCTCAAGATAACCTCAAGATGCTGGGCAATGTACTTTGTAAAGCGTAGCAATCTTTAAAAACATGTTGACCAGACCACACACTAGAAGTTGAAGGGACGACGACGTTTCGGTCCGTTCTGGACCATTCTCAATCGACTTGAGAATGGTCCAGGACGGACCGAAACGTCGTCGTCCCTTCACCTTCTAGTATGTGGTCTGGTCAACATACTTCAGCCCCGTTATTGTGACTCATCGCCTCTAAAAACATATTTGGCTTCTTTTAATTTAAATTCGCGACTTGTGTTTTTAGCTCGCTACTTTCTCGCTACTTTCTCGCTCGCTACTTTCAGCAATACTGGCAACACTGGTCTGATAGATGAAATTAGACTTCCAGTGCCTGAAATCTGCAATAGATGTCCGGTACAAATTTACATACGGCTCTGCAGTTCCCTGAAAACGTCCCCCTCGCCACTGTTAATGGCGGCTTCTGCTTAAAGTCTGGGCGATACAGGAGCCAGGCCTCACCCAACTTCCAAAATGACTCTGAATGCCTCGTTCATTTGCCATAACTACATTACCACCCTGATATAAACACAGTTACCAGTTGAGCCAACTGGACTACCAGTCACACTCTCTCCTGAAGTGGAATTTTGTTGAGAATATTGGCACGAGAGGGCCTGTGTTTGTGTGTGTACTCACCTAGATGTGCTCATCTAGATGTGGGTGGATTTAGGCTCCTGGTCCCCGCCTTCCGAACGTTGTTAGACTAATGCATTGACTCATTTCTCTCGCTTTAATCGTATTTGCATTAAACATTTGGAATTGAATTAGCTTCAACGATTTCTGTATCCTACCTATTTACGTGTACCCATGTGTGTGTGTGTGTGTGTGTGTGTGTGTGTGTGTGTGTGTGTGTGTGTGTGTGTGTGTGTGTGTGTGTGTGTGTGTGTGTGTGTGTGTGTGTACTCACCTATTTGTGCTTGCGGGGGTTGAGCTTTGGCTCTTTGGTCCCGCAGGTGTGTGTGTGTGTGTGTGTGTGTGTGTGTGTGTGTGTGTGTGTGTGTGTGTGTGTGTGTGTGTGTGTGTGTGTGTGTGTGTGTGTGTACATATTAGTTGTTAGTCGCCCAGCCAGTTGATGAAGACCACTCAGTGACAACAGTGCCTCTATAAGTGGGGTCCGAGTTGGCTGATTAGTTCAATCCCAGTCCGTAATTTCCGGTTGCAGTGGGCCCCCGGAAGAGTGGGGCCCCCGGAAGAGTGGGCCACTGGAAGAGTGGGCCCCGGAAGAGTGGGGCCCCTGGAAGAGTGGGCCCCCGGAAGAGTGGGCCACCGGAAGAGTGGGCCACCGAAAGAGTGGGCCCCGGAAGAGTGGGGCCCCCGGAAGAGTGGGGCCCCCGGAAGAGTGGGCCACCGGAAGAGTGGGCCCCGGAAGAGTGGGGCCCCTGGAAGAGTGGGCCCCCGGAAGAGTGGGCCACCGGAAGAGTGGGCCACCGAAAGAGTGGGCCCCGGAAGAGTGGGGCCCCCGGAAGAGTGGAGCCCCGGAAGAGTGGGCCACCGGAAGAGTGGGCCCCGGAAGAGTGGGGCCCCTGGAAGACTGGGCCCCCGGAAGAGTGGGCCCCGGAAGACTTGGACCTCCCATAGTGGAAGCCTCGAACCCTGGACTTGCTAAGAGGCCGGTCCTGTGTAGCAACACTGAGTGTGTACTGTTGACAAGTTGCTACTCCAGTTTGACCTGGTGTGTGTACGACAGAGCGATCCTCCGCCACGCTCTCCCAGGTGTCTATGATACAGTTCCTGAGGGACAGGCAGCCTTGAGGGGTGTCCTGACCTTCTCCTCTCGTGCCCTCCAAGACAACATCCTCCAGGTTGTAGACAATTCTTGAGGATCTTGTGGGGGCAGCTGTCCCTTCAGCACCCCCCACAACATGGCCATCTGAAGAATGGTCCAGGACGGACCGAAACGTCGTCGTCCCTTCACCTTCTAGTGTGTGGTCTGGTCAACATACTTCAGCCCCGTTATTGTGACGCCTCGCTTCCACATGACCATCTGAACCTTGTCTTGCATGGTGTTATCTTGAGGTTATCTTGAGATGATTTCGGGGCTTTTAGTGTCCCCGCGGCCCGGTCCTCGACCAGGCCTCCACCCCCAGGAAGCACCCCGTGACAGCTGACTAACACCCAGGTACCTATTTTACTGCTAGCTAACAGGGACATAAGGTGAAAGAAACTCTGCCCATTGTTTCTCGCCGGCGCCTGGGATCGAACCCATGACCACAGGATCACAAATCCAGCGTGCTGTCCGCTCGGCCGACCGACTCCCTCCGGTGTTGCGACACCAACACAACAACTACAACACCTACAACTCCACCAACACATGAGCAATATTACAGGTGTTTAGGGGAAAACTCACTGTAAACATCTGCCAACATTTCCTAAGCACGCTTTACATCTGTGAGTTTTAATACATATTTTTCTCCGCCAGAGTAATAACAAAAGCGAATTATTTGTCGGAGCTTCGGAACAGATTAACGAGGGCTTCCTGGGGGGGGGGAAATAAAACAACTTCGCCAACAAAAATCCTTTTGTGTACTAGGAGGCTATTCGCTATTTTATGAATAAACTGCTGTTCGGCCGTCATTCATTTATGCAAGAGCGATCTAAAAGAGCACTCGCCTGGCTTGTATACATTCCTTCATTGTGCGACATCAGCCAGTAGCTGAATGGGATTTCGGAAGCGACGTGGTAGTGTAAAACACAAGCCTAAAAGGCTCTGAAAGTGGACTGAGTCTGTGGAATGAGTAATGCTGGAATAGAATGGAACTCTTAGTGGAAAAGGGCCGAGCCATTACGACTATATAGCACTTAGAAAGGGGTCAGGATAAGAATTTGGGATGTCACAAGGGGAAAGGAATGGTGCCCAACCACTTAGACGGTCGGGGATTGAACGCTGACCAGCATGAAGCGAGACCGTCGCTCTACCGTCCAGCCCAAGTGGTTGGACAACTAATACTGGAAGGATTTCGATAGAGGATTAAGTTTATAGAATGAATGGCAGTTTGTGAAGGATTTAATACGTGATTGACTTTAATGAATGAATGGTAATAGGAAGGCTTGAATAGAGGATTGCGTTCCTTGCATGACTGGCAGTGCTAAAGGTTGAGTCTACAGGAGTAAAGAAGTATTGAGACTTGTCTAGTTAATATGCAAACAGTGAACCGAGTGAGAGGGGGGGAGCCAGTGCTATCAGGAGAGGATTTGTAAACATAACTGAGGTTTACGTTCGTAACTACGCTCTGAATTATTATTTTAGTTCGTGTGGGAAGCCATAAATGACGAATTATAATCGTTGCTCGCAAAGAGTCACGATTAGAGGTTCGATTTCGTAAACACGTCACAGATTAGAGTTTGTGGTGATAATTACCTTCAATAATGGTGATTGTATTTCCAAAGTCAATTCTTCGGCTCTTAAATTATCTTTGATAGAACGTTGTTGTCTGTATGTATACTGTCACGTGGGGGTGGGCGGTCCGGGGCTCTGCTAACACTCGGCTGCTAAGGGCTCAAAGGGCCCAAATACTCAGCCCCTCCGACTCCCTGGATTCACCGGAGTCTCCTTGGTCACACAAGATAGGACCAACAATGCCCACCTCCGCAGGTCTTTGCTTCCACCACAAAGGGGTGCCACTGATCCACCCTGGAAGCCCTTCAGTCAACCACGGGGAAACTGCTGTTAACAGTTCCGGCCTAGACCCGTGGGGGAGTGAAGGAAGACTCAGGCTTACCTATAACCATAACCTCCCTGAGTCTTGCCTGCCAGACAAAAAAAGGTTGCAGGAACTCCTTTCCCGCCTGTCTTCTCTATCTTCCTCTTAGCAAGGTCGCCAGCTGGGTTATTATATCTGCACCCCAGCAATGCAGTTTCAGTGGGTGTATCATATATCGTTTGTAGCCAGAAATGTATGCTCAATAGAGAAATATCACAAATGGAGGCGCACTCAAACACAGTAATAAAATGTGTGGATTTACTGACGCAAATTACATGAACACACACACACAATCACAAGTAATACATGAATATGGAATATGGATGATGAGTCTGGAGATCGTCAGCCTCTTCTTCCACGACCTCCAACACTCCTTCTACTGGGCAGGAAGACAGGAGTCTCACACTCTCACAGGAGGGCCTCTTCACCACGTCGGCACCTCTTCTTCACTGTCCTGCCATCCATACACACTGTCCTCTCTGACAGTCCTGGACACAAGCTGCATTGCAGCCTATTCTACCATTAAAGCAATAAAGTCTTGCTGCCACATACACAAGTAAATATTGTGGCCTAACTAGCCTACTCATACAAGGGGTAATGGGGGGGAAAAATGATCTACCTTACACTCCTGGCTCACGACGCCTGTCCCTCGATGGTGTGAGGTTCCCACGCTTCCTTGGGTCGATCCTCGACGATCCAGGGCGTTCCACAGGTCCTCAGGTGTCGTGAAGCCTTCGCGTCGTCGCCGTTCCAATCCCTGAGATTCAGCTGCCCCAATCCTGGTTCATCGATGGGCGCTGAGCTAATCACTATCTTTCCCCACACTCGCCTCTCCCACAGGGCGTCGCTCCTTGGCTTAGGCACGGTGTCGTCCTTCCAAGATTCTCAGTGGATGTGACCCCAGTCACAGCTAGCTTGCTCGCCCACCTTCCAGACCTCAACGTCCAGCCAGCGGCGCCGCCCAGCGTCGTCGCCGACTATTTTCCAAGTTTGGGCACTTCTCTGCTCACTGAACTTGGTTCCTCTTTGGCTTCCCAGAAGCGCAGGGTCTCCAATAACTATGGTGGGCAACGAAGGCCAGCTCAATCCACTGAACAAGGCTTGCAGAGCCTCCAATCCTTGAGAGCAGACCGAGGCGCGTCCTGTCGCTTCCACGGTCAGTACAACTCTGACGTTGGCGCCGCCCGGGGCACTCGGTGACGTCATGGCGGGCCCTGATTCGTCGCCCGCGACCTACGTCGGCCAATCCGCGATCGGCATAGTGTCCCTTCCACAAGGTCATATCTGCCGTAGGGGATACTGTTTCATTTTATAACAGGGCGCCAATTTTCCTTTATTTACAACTTATAATATAACCTCCTTCCATTAAATGGCAGCCGGACTGGTCGCCACATATATCATTAGACTCCCTGAACCTCAGAGAATCAGTAGGGAGAGCTGATATGACTCTTTAAGCCGGCAAACGAAAGAAATAGGAGAGGGCACCGTAACATACCCCTCCCCTTAAAATAAGAGTCATATCGGAAGAGCAGCACTCAAGAGGGCAATCTATACTCTTGCTCCCTCCGTTCCTGAAGTGTCACTCCTCCAGTTGGTGACGTGGCTCGTACCACCTTGCCAGTCACTTGCCTCATTGTATCTCCACCTCGCATAGTACCGGGTGTGATGGGTGTTCCCTGAACACCTACAAGAAATCCTCTCTCCGTGGCTACGAGTGTACTCCCACGGCTCGTTACCACTGTAAGATTCAGTGCATGCAGCGCCTCCACCGCGTCGTGCACTCCGAGATAGTCTTGCATTTCCATTGCGTCCTACAGGTACTCCATGTTTCCTCCCATGATCTCCTCTTCGCCAATCTTCTCTCTTCTCGGTTCCTCTTCTCCCGTAGGTGCGTTGTCTCCTCACAGTGGCACTTGTAACCTGTACTCCATCCAGCAGCTTCCTCTCTTCCACACTAGGCTTTTGCGATGGCCCAATGCCCCTCTGGTTAGGCTGGCGCCTACCCTGGGTGTACCTATTCCCTGCTTTCTTCGTATTGCCTTTCCTATACCACTCGCTCCTTCGTTCCCGACGAACATCTTCACTCCTCCATGAGATTCTCTTCCCTGCAGACGTCTTCTTCGGTTCGTGGTTGGGCTCATCCACCTCCCTGTGGCTCACCTCACCACGGTGGTTCATCTTGCACCTACCACTATTCATCTGGCCGGCATAGGGTGCCTTGCGTCGTGGCTCCTCCACTCTGCCCCTCACTGCCGTTCGCTCATCCGCTGAGCTTACTTTATTCACGTTTCTGTATGGAGGGAGTGCGGTCTGCAGCCTCTTCACCGCCCCAGGCGTTTGTACCGCTGCTCCTCGCCACTCCTCCACACGCATCATCAGGCTTAGTCGGAGGGCTTCGTCGGGGTTTTCAACTACCTCCGACGACCTCTCTGCACTCTCGCCCTCGTTGTCGTCGTCTCTGGCGACGTTTCCCCTGGCGAAATCGGCCTCCTCACTATCATCTGGAACGACCGATACCTCACCTGGCAGGGTTGTACCGCTGCTTGCAACATAGGCACTCCTGGCCCAATCGGGTTGTATCCTGCCTCCTCCGAGGTCATTACCCAGCACCATCTGTACATGCTCTAGCGGTAACTTAGGGGCTACAGCTACTATAGCTTTCTCGACTCCGCAGTCGGCAATCAGCTGTACTTCGTGAAGTGGCAACCTGTATTCCTCCCCCACACTGCGTATCCTCACCACTCCCACAGGTGAATCATTAAATTCCTTGGGGAGAATACTCCTGGTCACCATACTTATGTCAGCACCCGTATCTCGAAGCACGGCAACCTCCACTGGGTCTGACTTTCCAAACTTCACGTTGGCCTCGAAAACG